CCCACACAGAAGAGAATGCCTCTTCTAAATGCGGCCTGATGTAATCCATGGAAGCATTAGCAACAACATGAAAAAGGAAGCTGCTCCAGAACTATTTATTCATATGCACACACAAAAATCACAATTAATTAAGATTTCTTTAATTGAATGACGGCTCAACTTTTACCATGTGTATGCACTATTGGGCAGGCAGCTGTTTCCTAATGATCAGTCAAATACTACAATGGTAATTTCAAGGATTCCATCATTCTTTTATGATACATAACTTCAGAAGATGCAAAAGCCTCTTTTCTACATTGACTCATGATTTGTATGATGCCTCCTCAGAAAGTGCCAAAGCCTTTCAGGGAGGGGTAAATATACAAACAACTCCCCATTTGTGCAAGGGTTGTGTTCCAGGTCATTGTACATGTCAGTAGTCAAACATAAGCCAGTTCTGCTACTGCCCCCTTCCGGGGCCAAAAACAACACACGTGTTGGTGGTCATACGTCAATCGGACACATGCAAAATGGTCACCACCTGTGCCAACCCTCAGACAATATTCACAAACAACACTCTCTTAACTGAGAAGGAAAAGGGGGCTCAAATGAACGTTCTGTCCCAAACTCTCTCAAAGGTTCTTGAATATGTCATTGGAATTATAGGTAACTCAAAACTCCCTCAAATTGTGGAAAATCCTTCACTTAAAAAGGCCACCACCACCATTTCAAAGTCTCAAACCTCACCTCAAGCCTTACGGTAGAGGGCAGAACCAGCTCCAAGTCTGGGCCCTGTTGGTCTAGCCTGCCACTAGTGGTGAGTAGCAGAAATTTCCCACCAGCCACCACTTTTATTTCCCACAATGGCACACTGCAACACTACAGCAGGGGCACTGAGGGAAACTAAAATGGCAGCTAGACCTGTTGCTGCAGGGAATGCTAGGCCAAAAAAAAAAGTCTTTTTTTAATGGAGTCCCATGTGGTCAAGGCCAGGATCCATGGTGGGCCATATTTGAACCCTAGCAGCTGCCCAAGAATGGCAACCTTGCAGCAGTAGGTAGGAATGCCTCTCCCCTCCAAAAAATAAAAAAAACACCACAAAGCCAAGCCAAGCAAGCACCTCGTGTAATGCTCTCCATTGTCCTCACTTCCCAACCCAATACTCAGCCAGGTGTGAAGCAATACAGCAAAGCCCAGCAGATGGATTCCTCCCCTCACAGCCCGGCCCATTTTTTCTCCACCCTGTGGTAGAGGCTCCAGCCATAATAAATAAATATTGGGCTGACCCAACCCCCTTAACTGACAGAGAAAGGGGGGGGCCAAAGGCCGAAAGATAGTGGCCCTACTTCTTTTAGGAGAAGACAGTGAGAAGGGTTTGGGGGGGAGAGAGAAGAGAGGCATTGTGGGAAACACCGAGCATACATTTCATTAAACAAGCGTTCCCGCTTCTGCAGGCGCGCGCGATCAAAGCCCGTCCCACCGGGGGGGGGGGTCTCTCGCGCGGAGGAAGCGATGCAGCCCCACGGGAAAGGGGCAGCGTCGCCTTACCCCTGCAGCTGCTGCAGATGGGGCTTGGAGTGAACCTGCACGCTGGAGGTGCTGTTGCTCTGGCGCTGCTGGAGCTTGGAGCGCGCGACCAGCTTGCCCGCTTTGCTGAAAGTGGAAGAGGCGGCGGGCGCCGCCGGGACGCTGCTGCTGCTCGGCTTGTGCTGGAGTTGCACGGTGGGGCCCAAGCGGAGCTGCACGCTGGGGCCGCTGGCTTTGCTCATCCGGCGAGTCCGCTCCAAGGTGCTGCTGCTGCTGCTGCTGCTACTCCGCCGCGTGCTGCTGTAACGCGTGTTCAGCACCTCCACACTGAACGCGCGCTGGTGCTGCTGCTGCCCGCCGCTCTGCCGGCGGCTGCCCGACGTGCCCGGCAGCACATAGGTGATCGTCCTCCGCTTCGCCTTCTCGGAAGCGTCGAGGGCCGGGGACAAAAAGACACAGGCGCACAGCAGAAAACCCCACCTGATCCAAGCCATTTCCAAGAAACTCCCCGCAGCCACGAGAACTCCGCAAACCCTCGTTGCAGACAAAAGAAACGCACAAAGTTCCTGGTTCTGCAAAGGAGGTGGGGGAAAAAAAGATTGACTGCAATTCCGTCGCTCCTGGAGTGTGGCTCCTTCCCTTTTATCCTGAAAAGAAAAGAAAAAAAGGGGGGCGGAAAGAGCTTTAGCTCCTCTCTCGCATCAGCCGCCGTCCAGGGCTCTCTTTCACCATGTGAGCAACTCCAGGGGGGAAAGTTGTTGCACGGAGTAAAAAAACATTGTTAAGGGAGAGGAAGCTCGGTGGGGTGTGGGGAGACCTCGGCTCCAGGCAGGAGGAGGAGCGGCGGCAGAAGGGTGTTTTCTGGTGGGGTTTTCTCTCTCTCTCTTTCCCCCTCTCCTCTCCAAAGAAAAGCTATTTCGGCTGCCGGAGTTTGCTAGTGGTCTAAACGCATGGCTAAGAAATAAGCTTTAAAGCAGTTCAGGCTGAGGAAGGAGGGGGGAACAGTCTTTTTAAAAAGTTTCTACGGGTGTGCGGCTCCCCTTGAGTGTCAGATCTGCGCAGCCAATCTCAGGCAGGCATGACGTCAGGCAGCCGGTCCTAATTGGGAAAACTATAAAATGGGGCTGGGAGCTCACAGGCACGATCCAGTTTCAAAAACAGAGTTGCTGTAGACCTGAGAAGGCTCCTGGATCTGCGACCTCAGACAAAAGCTCAGTGATGTGCTTTTGACGGATCCTTTCGTTCTTTGCATTTTTTAAGTGTGGGGCGGCTGGAAGTTAAAAGAGTGATCTTCACTCAGAATACAATGGTGGAAAGCGTGTGCACAATGCCTAAACACCAAGGCAGACAACGCTGAAACGTATCACAACACCAGGGGTTGTACTATCTACCCATACTAAATTCTCATAATCTTTCCTTTTGTAACTTGCTTTCAAGAAGAAGAAAAATTAAATACAAAACACCAATGCCAGGCTAGTGCTTGATAACTTACGTTTGCAAAGTCACTAACTGCCATTAAGCTGTGATTTGAAAGGGTCTAAGCATTACAAAGTACAAAGGCATATAATATTGGTCATCAGTGTATCAAAAGCATGGCAAAACATCCATTACCTGAACTCCCTAAAACTCTTTATGTGCTATTATATACCACACATCATTGAAAAAGCACATGCCATTACATTTTGAGTGTGTATATGTCAGTAACAATACAGTGCAATTTAATGCTTATTTACTCTGAAGTCAGCTGTACAATGAATGTTCTGTGGTACTTACTCCCAGATAAATATGCATAGGATTTCAGCCTTTAACCCTGATCCAAGCAAACTTTGATATACTACCAAATTAAATCAATAGGCTTCATTCCTGAGTAAACATAAATAGGATCCCACTGCACATCTTGGTGAACCCAGTAGAATGTACAGCACAATCCTGCATGTGTTTATTTTGCTGAGTACAATGGTACTTATTCCCCTTCTGAGACTAATCCGCTTCACTGATGGCTCTAGTTTGCAATACAGTGGTACCTCGGATTACATACGCTTCAGGTTACATACGCTTCAGGTTACAGACTCCGCTAACCCAGAAATAGTACCTCGGGTTAAGTACTTTGCTTCAGGATGAGAACAGAAATCATGCTATGGCGGTGCGGCAGCAGCAGGAGGCCCCATTAGCTAAAGTGGTGCTTCAGGTTAAGAACAGTTTCAGGTTAAGAACAGACCTCCGGAACGAATTAAGTAATTAACCCGAGGTATCACTGTAAATCTGTTAGTTTTTAGGGCACCACAAGAGACTTCGCTGGAAGAAACTAACATGGCTACCCCCCATAAATTATTGGATTATAAATATGTTTAGGATTCCCCCCCCCCACTCTAAACTTTAGTCTAAAGCAAATATTTTTAGCAAGAGGAAACAGTATAAATCAATGATTTCATATCATGGAGCACTTGTCTCTCAGGTAAGGGTAGGGAACCTGTACCCCCCACCATGTTGTTTGCTAGACTACAACTTCCAACATCCCTGGCTGGGGCAGAGGCGTAGGAAGGTCAGGTGGTACCCGGTGCAGAAAATTTCTTGTCACCCCCCCTTTTTTATTTTATTTTTTGCCTGCAAAAATGGTTTTACGTTATTTCATATTTTCTTACAAAGGAATGTGGATTCTGGGGCCCTGATAACAAGTAGGCGACTGTGGACAGATACTTAAATCTACAGGATGGATTGTGTTTTGGCTCCACTGAATTGAAATTTCAGCCTTCATGACATATGAAAACGGCCAAGTAAACAGTTATTTTTGTGGAGGAGGGTCAAGATATTAACTGATATGTATGAAATTTCAGATATAGCTATATAATCCCTGGTGTAGACCTTTGGAGCAGGCATTTTCAAAAATAAAGTTTTTTATGAACCGCCCTAGTAGGGCAGTAATTGTTCCTTGATAATTTGTCACCCCCCTCCATGATGGCACCCTGGGCGGACTGCCCCCCCCTTCCTATGCTCCTAGCTAGGAGGATGATGGGAGTTGGAGTGCAGCAACATCAGGGGTGGGCATAGGCTCCTCAGGGGTAAGTACAAGGCCCTTCTTTTCTTTTAATGCATGTCTCAGCTGAAAGAGTGTCAGTGGTCCTATGCCTCTTACCTCAACCCCATCTCTAACCACTGCAATCCAGGTAGCTGCCTAATTCCATTCCTTGCACCAGAAGTCACTGGAAAATTGAGAGAGTGGATCTCTTTTGTTTTGTCTGTTTGTATTGGTTCTTTCCTCCTATCTATCTAAAAATAATTCATATTTTCAGAATATGTACTGTCGGCTTAAACTATGATGAGTCTGAATGTATTTGTTTTCCTCAGTACAGGACAAAACACTTGAATCCTTTATCAAAACTCTTTCTGCTTAGTTTTCTTCTAGGCAGGATAAAAACAACAACACACATTCAACCCTGTCCCATCTTGGGTATATGCCCAAAGCATGTTATACTACATTTTACTTCTATGCTTTCCTTCAGCCAAAATAGACCCCAAGGCAACTCACAAAGGATAATGCAAAAGGTAAGTCAAGCAACAGCAACAACAAAAATAAAACACACATTTTAAAATAGATATATATAAACATTAAAAACAACAACTGGTAAAGGGGCAAAGGATGTCAGAACAGGAGCAGTTCCTTCTTAGAAGCAGGGGCAGGTGTGGTGGTGGTGGAAAAGCTTGCCTCTTGATTGTCCAGCACAGTACTTCCTCTTTTGCATGTCTGTTGAGTGGGAAAGCATTATGAAATAAGTAATTATTTTGATACATTTACTAGAAAATACCTGGCCTAAATTGGCTTTAACTGTATACACTATACACACAGACTTTTCCAGAACATATGCTGTGTTAAACAAACAGCAGTGGAATTAGCAGTTGCAGATAGATGTGATCCCACAACCTCTGTACAAATAGCTTCTTTACATTCTACTGGTCTCTTCATTTCTAGGGACCCCCCCAGAGGGAAGTAATGACAATTAAGGTGGGACTTAAACAGGAGGTGCACAGGGGAGGAGAACCTGTGATCCTCCAGATGTTGTTGCACTCCAACTCACATCAGCCCCAGTTAGCATATAGCCAATGGTCAGGATCGCTGAGAGTTGTAGTCCAACATCTGGAGAACTGCAGGTTCCCCATCCCCATTATAGCACAGCAATTCTATGATTCTAACAGCTCAAAACCAAGTTTTGTTGCATTGAAGATATACCCTTGAGAGGATAGAACCAGAGTTTATATAATACCATTTATAGTAATGGTATTATAGATCTATAGAATATAATATCAGAGTTTCTAGAACTATGATGTTATGCTGCCCTTGCAAATACTTTAAGATGCATATTTAAAGCCCTCCAGGCTTAAAATCAGTCCAGATAAATAGTTATGTGCATTTTAAACCTTAGCTTTCATCAACAGCTTGTATATGTGCATATCAAATAAGTTTCTGGCCCTGGGACATGGTTCAAAACCCTTCTTGACACGAATGAGTCATTATTGCACTGGGTTTTCCTCTGTCCAACTTCCCATAGGCTAAATATGTGACCATGATGATTCCAGAGCTAAGGACAGCGTAAAAGTCTGTCTTCTCAGTTCTGGCATATGTCCATACTGTGATTAATTGCATGTTGTCATTGTTATCTAGGCTAATTATTATACATTTTTGTCCATAGTAAGCTTGTATGGTAATGAGATGCAACTGTATGTCTGTTCAACCTTCTACTGCATTAGTTTATAGCATAATTCCAGTGACAATAAGGAATTTAACTATCCTTCAACATTTGAAAGCAGCACATAAGCATGTTTGGGATTATTCCTCTGCTGTTCTGAACATTTTCAGAATGAGGTCACATCCTATGCAGCAGAGTTTATTGTATGAAAGATAACAACTGTATCTTTCAAAGAAGAAATCAGTTGTTTCTAAATAAATGCTATTATATGTTGCAACAATAGAATGTTGCCAGTTATTTGATTAGCAAGCAATGTAGAAGCTTACAGTGGTACCTTGGGTTACAGACGCTTCAGGTTGCAGACTCCGCTAACCCAGAAATAGTACTTCGGATTAAGAACTTTGCTTCAGGATGAGAACAGAAATCGTGCTCTGGTGGCGCGGAGGCAGCGGGAGGCCCCATTAGCTAAAGTGGTACCTCAGGTTAAGAACAGTTTCAGGTTAAGAACGGACCTCCAGAACGAATTAAGTTCTTAACCCGAGGTACCACTATGTTTGCTTTATGTGATAGAGACCTTGACAGAGCATTTGGCTTGCTAGAAGCCGTGGTTTATTGGTTTGTTTGTTTTTAACAATACTCTAAGGTCCAGTACAGCCCTATATTTGGAGCTGCCATGCTGGCCTAACCTCCTCTTTCCACAGCCTGTTTAAATGGGCCAAATTGATCTACACACATAATTCTACCGCCACTGTTGGAGGTACTATATTTCTCAATACCAGATGCTGGGAATTGCAGATAGGGATAGTGTTGTTGCCCCAGTTCCTCTTTGTGGGCCTCCCATAAGCATCTGGTTTGCTGCTGTGAGAACAGAATGCTGGACTAGGTGGGCCTTAGGCCTGACCAAACAGGGTTTCACTTATGTTTGGTCTTATGCATGTAGGACAAAACCACTTGGTCAGTTCAACAGAAAAAGCTCTGGGAATTAATTACACGATTTTGGCTCCAGTGACTGGGCCATGCCTTTGTGGATGGCAGAGGCAGGCCAGCACACCAGGTGCACCTACTGGGTCTGTTCAGATGTCTGAAGTATCAGCTGAACTGGCCTCAGAGCATACAAATATTAAAGGGATATCACTCTAAAAGCAATCACAAAGTACATTATCAGTATCATTGTTTCCTTCCATTATGTGCAATGGTTCATAACTTTCAGAGCAAATAAGATTTGGACACTAGACATCAGTGGGCAAAAACATATCTTGTGGTTATCTTGGACTGATATATTATTTGTTTAATATCATCAACTACAGTGACAGGATTATTAATTGCAACCAACAAGAATTAGAAAATAAGGTTATAAGGCATTGCCAGCTAAACCTTACAGCATCTGATGTCTTGGCGGTATAGATTTGATCCTGACATTCTTCCATGATATTTTAATTACAGGAGAGTGAAATATGCACAAATATGGTTACAGAGCTAGTGCTGTTTTGTACAGTGGAGGGATTAACAATAACTTTGTACTATTGGTATTTTTGTTGCCACAGAAGCTAATGATGACCAAGGTCTTGTGGTTTTCCCAATTGGATACATTGCATGAAAGTGGAAGCCTCAGAACGACATGAGCACATAAAGAGTTTCAGCAAACCAATTAGGTTACAGCTAAACTGCTCAAAAGCTGAACGCTGGAAAAGGAAAAGATGGTGACAGCTTGGAGTGGCTGTCACATTCCCCCTTCACTGCTGCCATGATAGGTTGCCTTTAGGGATTATCTTGTTTGTTATTTAAGTTTTAAAAGAATTACAATTTCTTGGCCAACATCTAATACTTCCATCCATCAGTGATCACTGCCAGATCCAATGAAACTATTTGCTCCGGGCCAGCTGGATTTGACTTCCTTTTGAAATGCTGCCATATTGTCAGAGCAAAATAAGCATTTTGTGCATTTACATTGTACCTGAAACCGCACCACAATCAGCATAAATGTTTTAAGTAAGAATAGATTAGCTGTGATCTGACTGAGCTGAAAATCCATATATTCAAATAGCCATGATTTTTATCTATTCAGATTCCCTGTTGAAATCGGAATTACCACCTGGTGGATGAAGGATCCATGCATTAAAATATTGAGTGAGCGTGTCTATGTCTCATTTGCATGTATGTATGTATGCTCTGCAGAGTCCTGTGGTCTTTTATGCTACGTAAGTGGGCAGTGCTATAGAGGATTAAAATATTGATACAGTGGTACCTCAGGTTAAGTACTTAATTCGTTCCGGAGGTCCGTTTTCAACCTGAAACTGTTCTTAACCTGAAGCACCACTTTAGCTAATGGGGCCTCCAGCTGCTGCTGCGCCACCAGAGCACGATTTCTGTTCTCATCCTGAAGCAAAGTTCTTAACCCGAGGTACTATTTCTGGGTTAGCGGAGTCTGTAACCTGAAGCGTATGTAACCTGAGGTACCACTGTAATAGACATTTTCTTATTGTGAGGTTTAATGTCTAAGAGAATAAAATATGCTTTCTGCATTTCCATTTTACCCTGAACAGTATTCTCTAAATTAAATATCTGCAGCTGCCAGATATAGGTTTTTAAAAAAATCATCATAGTAATTTACTGTGGTTACCTAAGCCAACAGCAAACAGACCCAAACACTATGCCACTTGTGGTATGGGCATGCCCACAACGTCTTCCTGCACTCTCACATTCCTCCCACCACCAGCCAGTGAGTCATTCCTCCCCCTGTGAATCCAAACCACCACAAGGAGAGACCACCTGTGGTGACCATGACCATCCATTGATTCATTCATGTCTCCCACTACAGTCTATCCCCCAAGATATTTGTGCTCTTTTCTGATTCATGCATACAAAGCAGGATACCACAAAAGTCTCTCACTACATCTATTTCAGGAGGATAATTTAAGACAAATAACAGTATATGTGATACTTTCGCTGTTTCTGGAGCTTACATTCACACGTCTAGCCTTTTTAAAGCCATAAATTAGCAGAAACAGTACCTCCTAACCACAAATGTATTGTCATCTGTCCAAAAATGCAGTGTCTGTGGACCCATGACTAGCGGTTGGACCCATTTCTGACTTTCCTTTTATAACAGCATGCACATTAAGCCTTCCAAAAAGCATGAGAGTTAGCGTGTTGCTTTCAGCTACAAAAGATGCCAAGTAGAAATGCATATCACAGAGTGTCTGAAGCACAGCAGAGCAGGGCTTGAAGTGCTTGGGATATGCTACTGTCAGGCCACTGAGATGGGACAAAGAAAAGACTGTGCTCTGGGAAATGTGCAATAAAACAGAAAGTGTGCTGTTAGTGCAGCTTTCCAAGAGGACTAGATTTGGTCTTCAAAGTAGATCAGTTATTTGTTTGCTAGTTTAAATAGTATTGCACTGCCTTTCTAGAAAATACCAAGGCAGTATATATACCATCCAACTATTTCAGACTCAAAACTGGGATGCGCATCTTCCGGGACGCGCACCCGGGGAAGTCACATGACCCACTCCTCACTCTCACTCGGATAAAGCACTTTTTTCAGGGCAATATCTTGTGTGGCACTGGGGAAAGTACAGTATTACCTAGGGTTACAGACACTTCAGGTTACAGACTCAGCTAACCCAGAAATAGTACCTTGGGTTAGGAACTTTGCTTCAGGATGAGAACAGAAATCGTGTTCTGGCGGCGCAGTGGCAGCGGGAGGCCCCATTAGCTAAAGTGGTGCTTCAGGTTAAGAACAGATTCAGCTTAAGAATGGACCTCCAGAACAAATTAAGTACTTAACCCGAGGTACCACTGTTTTTTGGTGGGAGAATGGGTGGGCCTTTGGGGCCATTGTCCTGACCTGGAGGGCTTTTCCTATGCCCTTAATTTATTAATACTGTTGCCTAATACAAGTTTGTCATGGCCTTTAGCTAGAACAATAATATTATGAACTTGAAATTTAGAGGCAATGCTTTCAAACATATTACTTTAACTTAAATAGCACACGGCACTAAAATTAATTTGCCCATTATTATCTGGGGCATGCAATTATACATGTTATTATTAATACTGACACGGCACCCAAAAGTACTATGTATCAACATGATCGTTATCTCACATACCCCTCGTTGTGTTCAGCTTCCAATTACTGGCAGTGATCACCGAAGAGAACAAATGTTATCATTTGCCCCAAACCTGCCACACTCAGGCAGGTTTCACTCTCCTTTATGTAGGGCTTGTGGATTTATTTATTTACTTATTCCAGTTACTTATTAGTCACTTTTCAAGACCAATCCCTCACAAAGCAATCTATAGACAGAAATGAAAACAACAGAAGCACAGGCAGAGTATGAAGAACTGGGTGGATGCGGACAAATAGACCCTTGGGAGCTACTGAGCTAGATTGCCAAAATTCTCTTATTGTAAATAGTAAGATACATTTTTATGGCCTTCTAGAATGCCAGAACTGAAGGAGCCAAGTGAATGTCAACTACAAGAGAATTCCACAGGTGTAGGATCACCACAGAGAAGGCTGTATCTCAGGGAGTTGCCAGCCTAACTGATGTCACCCTGTGTGCACACAAACAGAACCTAAGATGGTGGGCAGAGTCATGCAGGTGCAACCAATGTGGCCCTGAACTGTTTTGGGCCTTAAGCATTGATGCCAGCAATTCTGATCATGAGAGCCAACCTAGATTTCTAGCTTGGCAGTTCCATGATTGGAGCTGCCAAGTTTTGTTTTTATTTTTCTAATAGCAGTCAGAGAGGCGTGGGGATTTGGAGTGGTGCACTGGCATAGGGGAGGGGAGAACTGTTTGTTTTCCATGCTGGTTCCCTCAATATTCAGTGTGAAAGCAGAAACGAAGTATTAATAATTACATTTATTAGTTACTTTATCTTGCTCAGGACAACCCAAAGCACCTTACAACCTCTACTGACCTACTAAGTGAATCCATTTTTTGCTATAAAACTACTTGGAGTATTATATTTTGTAGGAAAGTGGTGTATATATTTTCAAATAAAACTAACAAAACAAGCAAATTAGAAAGGAAGCTCCTAAATGTAAAACTGATCACTTTCCCACTTTCAGATCTGATCTTCCATTGTTGCCTTTGTCTTTTGTCAATTTCTGGATCTGAAGGTCAGTTTCTCTTCAGGCTAGGTTGCTAAAACAATTTTACTGGTAGTTGAAAAATCTGAGCTTGATAGATCAAAGTAAACTTATCCAGACAGCTTTTCTGTAACCTAGTTTCAATAAGCCTTACAAAACCTGAACTGCTTGTTTTCAGTGTAAGGTTTTGTTCTCTAAACATGAGATGGTTGTTAGCTCAGGTATTTCAAGTAGGTCTTGCAAGGCCTTTTAAGAACAAGATGAATGGGGGATGCCATAATCAAAATTAGTTTTGAATCAGAACATGAGGCTGAAATTCACTAACGACACCGAATCCTTGAGTTTGTGATTAGAAATATGATTGGAATGAATGCAAATAGTAAACTATATATTGGTTTTACTTTTTTATATAATGAGCCAGAGAGCAGTGATTGGGAGTAGGCGAGATATTATTTTGTGCATAAATCTGCATTCATTATATAAAAAATGCTATACAGAGCTACACAGGAGCCCGTACTAGGAAAGACAGTGAACTTATTTCTTTATCTAGTGGCTCTACCTGTCCCAACTGCTTTGTCCACTGTCCCACAAGCTCCAGTGGTTACCGGGTGTCACTGCACATTACCATCCAGAGGGGGGCCACTAAGCTCAGAATTATCTATCTGCACCACTGGTTTCAATAGAGAGGCATGCATGCACCACTACTAGCCCTCCTCTGGAATGGGTAGATCTAGTCAAGCCTTTTTCCAGCCTTGCAGTGCTGACTGAGGCTGATGGGAGTCATAATCCAAACCATCTGTTGAGCACCAGGCTGCCTAAAGCTAGTCTCCAGCCTCTGTGAGCAAAGAGCATCTAAAGCCCTAGACTGAGGTTGGCTGTGACTCTTGGAGCACTAATAACCCTGGGAGACGACTTTTAGGACCTGGCTAACAATTATTTACATATTTATGGAATAAGAAGCTGCATGGGACAGATTTTTATGTGAAACACTGTAGCTTAGGTAGACGGCCCCCAGACTGGAGCTTTGACATTTATGGGGCACACTTGATTATTCATATGCTAAGCCCTATGCTGTGTCCAAAACCAAATTTCAATAGACTGTATAATCCCAGGGAAGCTCTTGGAATGTTTTCATAGTTTGATTTTCCAGGACATCTCAAAGAGTGTGAGTTGTGAAGTCTAGCCACTTGTGGCAGATGAATAATACCAAGCTGACCTTTAGTGGAGTGTGATAAGACAAAAAGTACCCTGAGGGATCTTGGTAGAGTTGCATTTTCATATTTCAGCTGCCTGGGTTGTGATTTTGAAGATTTGTACGGTTATATACTTGTGAGCGTTCTGGAGAAAGGTTCAGTAACTCGGTTGTTTATCTGTATCAGTTATAACAGTTTTATTGGGGTGCTGACAAAAGCATTCTCCCCACATCTGATTCCCATAAGACAGCATTACCCAGCAGCTAAATTTGATATAATGATATGCATTAAAAACAATACCTCATGTTAGCAGGCAGATGTATATAAAGCTTCTGCATGGTTATTTGTTGGTGCCTTAAAAGCATTTGCTCATTGATAAACCTGGGGCAAAAGTGTGACTTCAGTGTCCTGCCTAGTTACCTGCCCCATTTTTGTATAATTATTAATAGCTAATTATACAAAAATGCTTGATTTGCATCATTTGTAATTCGGAGTGCAGAGCCCAGAGTTGGACATCTGGATAAAGTGCTATTTACATGGAATTTTACAGGCACTGAAAACTATAAAGGGGGGTTCAATGAATTTGGAAAAGATTTGGACAACTAAATTTGGATACTCAGGTTCCCATTATACTCACTAAAAAGCTGTTATACGAATACAATAGAATCTAAATTAGAAATCCTGTGGAGAGAGTTTCAAAGGAGTTCCTTGATTCAAATGTTCTAAAAAAAAAACCAAAAAAACCACCACCCTACTGTGTAATGTGCAAAATAAGCATATGTTTTAAGTTCACATTTCAGTGTATGTCTGGCACTTAAAACCATGGGCAATTATATCTAAATATGAAGTGGGAGAACCTGAAGATAGGAAACTACTTGTTTAAATCCATGCATGCCCACAGTCTCATAGTTCAAAAGTGGTTGAATGTTGGCACTACTGTTAGGAATATAATCAAGGCTAAAAAACTTTGTCTACACCAAATATATACTAAACAATTGCTGTAATGTCTGGAACACAATACGTGCAGTCTCCTTTTTCTCTCCAAAACGTTTAACGAAGACCGGGCCAGATTTAGTGATACAGTTCTACATGTATGTAAGTTTAAGAAAAATTGCTGAGTGTATTATGTCATTAGGTAATTGGTCCTAGCAGTGACAGAAAACAGTTTGCTTAAAAAAAGAAAAAGAAATGAAGCATAATTAACCCCTCCCTGTGATAATAGAAGACTAACCTCACCAAAATAAGACCAACAAGCAAGGTCAAGAGGCCAATGTACACATGGCCATTTACACATTAGTAGCTTAAAACCCAGTGAAGTCGTTTCCCCTGCTGTGTTTCAAGCCACATTTTTATGTTGCTATACACACCAGAGAAGGTTTGGGAAGTCATCACATGATGCACATTACAGTCATACCTCATGTTACGTTTGCTTCATGTTACGTTTTTTTTCAGGTTGAGTCCCACAGTGACCCGGAAGTACCGGAAAGGGTTGCTTCCGGGTTTCGCTGCTCGCACATGCACAGACACACAAAATGCTGTCACACGCATGCGCAGGTTGCCTCCGGAACGGATCCTGTTCGCAACCAGAGGTACCAGTGTACCTGATTTTTCTCACCACGCCTGCAACTCCCCATAACTCCTGTTCAGTAAAAGGTATCTTCTGCACATCTGCTGGCATCTGTGCCTGCACAACAGCTGTCTCAAATGTACACACCTCAGAAGAGCCACAGCTTCCATTTTCAAATTGGATGGAAGCCCATTTGAGGGAAATTGCACCAAACACCAGTATTTCTCAAGAAACAACAGGATACATACATGGATTGTAGCTAATGTCGTGTGTACAGTGGTGCCTCGCAAGACGAAAAGAATCCGTTCTGTGAGTCTCTTCGTCTAGCGGTTTTTTCGTCTTGCGAAGCAAGCCCATTGACGGATTAGCGGATTAGCGCTATTAGCGGCTTTTAGCGGCTTTTAGCGGCTTATCAGCTTATCGGATAAGCAGATAAGCGGCTTAACGGCTTAGGAAAAGGGGGGGGGAGGGGAAAAAACCGCAGGAACTCGCAAGACATTTTCGTCTTGCGAAGCAAGCCCATAGGAGCTTCGTTTTGCGAAGCACCTCCAAAACGGAAAACTCTTTCGTCTAGCGAGTTTTCCGTCTTGCGAGGCATTCGTCTTGCGGGGCACCACTGTAATTGGCTTAAAAAACCGACAGTGGGGGCATACTGGAGCTGGAGTAGACAGTAATGCGTACACAGCCTATGTCAGTGGCTGTGTCAATTCAAGGTACTTCCCTGGCAATTAAGTTATTCTAGCAAGGCTTATTCGCCATTCCTTCTCGGGTGACCAGGTATGCATTGCTTTAAAAAAGGGCAAAAGGGAGCACCAATTTGCATAATATTTGTATAGAATGCATATGTATAAACGCAAATTTAAAACAACTATATATTCATATACCTCACTTTAAAGGAAAAAAGCCCAGTTGACTTGTGTACCTGCTCAGTCTGCTGCTGCTAACTGTAGAGAGGAGATGGCTGCTTTCCCTTTTTTATGGTTCCTTCTCTTTAATCCAGATTCGGAATCGACAGTCCCCAAACAGAGGGCGCCTCAAATAGGCCTGTCCTTGGTAAAGTAGGACCCCTGACCACTTTGATTCCTTCCTTCTCTGGAGAGCAGAGAAGGGGGGCTATTTTAGCTTTGGATTGCCCTTCTGGAAGAAGTAGAACAATGTTCTCCCTTGCTGAGGGGTTGTTGGTTTTTTCATTTCCAGAAAGTAAGGTCTTTTTGTTCTAGTTAGGATTTGGAAGTGAAATTAATTATGTGGTTTTAATTTCAGCCATTTTATACTGATTTTTTCAGTTTAGTTTTGATTAGCTATGTTTTGGTAAGCTGCCTCAAGCAAACTAAAACACTCCCAATGTTGTAACTTTTCCTCATAGGGGAGTTGCCCAAAAACTTTGATCATTTTGGCTGCCCCTTTCTGCACACTGCATTCCAAGTGCAGTCGCACCATGGATATGCATAGAGGCATTATTCTATCAGCTGTTTCTCTCCATGCATACATGCCAAAAAGCAGCAGCTATCAGGTCTTGTACAATAACCTTCAACTGATAAAAGGCTCTGATCCTGACTGAGTGGTTCCTTGTGCTGGCCCTTCCTGTACGGTTCCTATGGGGCTTAGCTGGACTAAAACTTGCAAATTCCCTTAGTCGGAACCATAATTATATAAAGCAATATAGTAATTGCTCATATAGAGCTAAATGTGTATGTAATTTGTTCAACATAGACAATGTGAAACTCAAATCCAAAGGGCAAGGTTAGACCTTTCTGGCTTACAAACTTTGTGGTTGGCCCAGTCCTCTAATCCACAAAAGTGCTAGAGACCTCAGAGTTGCTTCTTTGCAAATAGCTTTAGTCCCAAAGTAACAAGACCTCATCAAACAGCAGAATTATCATTTGCAGCTTGAAGGGTGCTACTTTGTGGGCCTCCAAACACATCTGTGAGAAAAAGATGTGGACTGATTTCCCATCCCCCTTGGTAATTAACCATGCCTATGCATAATTTAGTTTTAAGTTTTAAAACTTAGTTTTAAGGGATGCGGGTGGCGCTGTGGGTTAAACCACAGAGCCTAGGACTTGCCGATCAGAAGGTCGGCGGTTCGAATCCCTGTGACGGGGTGAGCTCCCATTGCTCAGTCCTTGCTCCTGCCAACCTAGCAGTTTGAAAGCACGTCAAAGTGCAAGTAGAGAAATAGGTACCGCTTCGACGGGAAGGTAAACGGCACTTCCGTGCGCTGCTCTGGTTCTCCAGAAGCGGCTTAGTCATGATGGCCACATGACCCAGAAGCTGTATAGCGGCTCCCTCGGCCAGTAAAGCGAGATGAGCGCCACAATCCCAGAGTCGGTCACGACTGGAACTAATGGTCAGGGGTCCTTTTATCCTTTACCTTTACCTATGTATAATTTGTTTACTTCATATAAGGTGATAAGAGCCCATAAATATTCTTCAACTCTCCAGCAGAACAGGTTTTCTAGCCTTCTAGCTCTATGCTGAGTGACTTGGTCCTAACTAGGCTATATCAAGCCATTCAGCAGTGTTACATGTACCTTCAGCAGTCTATTCAAAAGCTTTCTCATTCAGTTCAGTGGAGATTCATCCCCTTCCAGACACAGAATGTCCTCTTCCATTTAAGGGAATGAGGAAGCTCTCCCATACGGGAGTCCTATGTGTGACTTGGGGTATCTATGCTATGCAGCTTTGAAGCAGTGGCTATGTCTGCAATCCAGACCTATCAATAGCACTTCTCTCAAGAGACAAGAACACACACACACACCTGGGGGTTTTCTTTCCATTTTCACTTCAGAGGCTTCGTTTGCCAAGCCACAAACCACTGTTTAAATTTCTCTGGCTTGGCAGTTCAGAAAGGGGAACGGTGGAAGCAAAGAAGGGGAGAGTCCCACCATGTCCGTCCATGTCTGTGCAGCTGATGCCAGGTCTATTTAAGCTATCAACACAAATGCAAACGCAACACGCTGGCTAATAACTGGTAGTGGATATATAATTAATTACAATGTCATTCAAAATATACTAATATGCCACTTCGAAATAATGTATATATCATACAGTACATCTCACAAAATATACAAGTGACTGTAAGTTGTTGTATATATAAGAGTCAAATGAGGAGTCAAACAAGTCAATGAATGGCGAGGAACGCCAAGCTGTCTCTCAAAGGAAGACGTCTATCAGAAATGTTAAAAGGAAGTCTCAAGAGGACAGTGTGTCCGGAATAGTTCACTGTTTCGGAATAAAGTCTTCATCGGCAAATAATTCTCAGTGAAAAATTTTCATACTACAGTCATACCTCAGGTTACAGCCACTTTAGGTTGTGTTTTTTCGGGTTATGGACTGCCAAAACCCGGAAGTATCGGAACGGGTTACTTCTGGGTTTCGGCGGTCGCACATGTGCAGAAGTGCTAAATTGTGCTTTGTGCATGAGCAGAAGCGCCAAATCGCAACCCGCGCATGCGCAGGTTGCAAATGCTGTGGGTTGCGAACGTGCATCCCGCACAGATCACGTTCGCAACCCGAGCGTCCACTGTAGTGGGAATCTTGCTAGTGGATTCAGCAGCAGCTACACTATCCAGTGAGCACTGATCCACTGAGCAACTATTCTGTTGATTGTTACATTTTGCAACACTGTGGTTTGTGTTTCTCCACATGTCTATTTAAGCTGACTGGTGGGACTGCTGAAGCAGCCGCATACTCGGAGCTTGTGGAAAGTCTTAGGGAACGGGAGGTGTCTGGCACAGCTTCCTGCACAGAAGTGACCAGCATAAACTTGCAATTCAGAGCGGTCCTTTTCATTCCCCATCTTACTTGCACAGATGATGAGCCTATGAGAGCAACATCTAATCGTGTGTGTGCAGTCTCAGGAACTGGAACAGGGACAATCCCACAGATGCTAAAGTGCTGCATTTTGAATGGAAGCCCCACTGCATGGTAACTGAAAAAGCCTCTCAGCTATTATATTCATTTACGCTGGGACTCTTAGGCCAAACTAGACGTTATCTGAATTGTGTGGTGGGAATTAATGTGTCTAGTTTGTTTGTTTTTAAATTAGCGACTGCTAATCCTTGGAATGGTGATCCTCCTGGCCAAAACCAGGGTGTAAATGGAACATTAAGTGAACCTGGCCTCTCCAGGGTACATTTTCAAAATTTATTATGGGGGAAAGCACCTATACGGTAATTGAAATCTTGCAGCCAGTTCATTCTTGTCTAGCAGTAGGGAGAAACCCCACACTCGCTCTCCAGCCATTTTAAAGCTGCATGCATCACAAACAACCCACACGAGAATATACCAGAGTCAATACATGGAAACTGTAGACAGGAAGCAGAAAAAGCAGGTCTCTCATACATACAGTGCACACAATCCTAAATATAAAAGGCTATAAATGTGCTGGAGAGTAAATTAGTGAGTGAAACATTTCAAGAAAATGCTAAGGGGAACAATGGAAGAAAAGCAGACCAGCCCACAGGGAATTCCGTTTTACTCAGTCATAAAAAACACACACATATACACAACCTCTTCTGGTTTCCCCTGCCTGGAAAAGCTGCTCACAATGCTGGGAACAATGTGTTTTTTTGCTTTTTTTAAAAGTACTAAACAGCAGATTTCTGTTTAAAAAGATGTAAAAATGCAAAGAATTAAGTTACTGGACAGAACAGGAAAACTAAGCAAAAAAAGGTGCTTGCATTCAGTGGCCTTGTTTGTACTTCACTTTAACCCATAGTTAAATGAAGTGTGGTGTGTGAGTTAGGGTGGGGAGGGGAGGGGGGTTTCAGAGGCTTCAGAGATGCCAGGGGAAGACCTAAAGGGTATCATTTAAGGGGAAAAAACTCCTCAGATTTTTCATTTTCAAGTAACTTCCCACCCTTAAAGCTAGATTCTAGTCATACACCAGAACATCTTAAAAAAACCCAACCTATCTCTGACAGAAATATTAAAAAAGAAACATGAAGAAACCTTCAATGGGGACTCATCTACATTAGTAAATAAAAAGTGTTTTAAATGCGTTATAACACTGCGATGGCGCTGTGGAGTTCCATCTTTCAGCAACATGATTTCCCATTATGAGGCTTACAACCTGTTCCCCTGAAACTTTTTTTTGATGTGTCTAGATCCAGCCTGGTTTGCTTTCTCAGAAGTTCTCTACTTTTCTGACTGCTGATCCTTGTGAAACACAAGTACAGTAGCACCATCAACACAAAATAGAGATGTATTAGCATATGCAGTGGGCATGAAATGTGACTGGTCAGCGGGTGGAAAAGAGGGAGAATGGAATGGAGTGTCCTGGAAAAAGACATGGCTGCCCAGTTAGAACCCTGGAAGGAGCTCTCCATACTGCAACATTTTGCTGTAGCCCTCCTTATTCCTGACCACGAAATATTTTTCTAATCATTTCCAGGCAAGCTTCAACTAATTACACTGGTCAACAACAAATCTGTTGTCTGCGTTTTTTCAGTTGATTTAGGACAAATCTGATGCGCTGAATCCAAAAATCACTTTGGTTTTGCTCAATCAGGTCAAGTTTTTCAGCTATGGCCACATGTCGTTTTTTTATGTTTTTGTTCACATATATGCTTGTGTGGAGCATTTTAGAAGAAGTTGGTGGGGGTAAAATGCCATGTTGAATAATTGTTTTGATTGGAAATGATTATTTTAATGACAATAAGTATTCAGGTCTGATAGTTCTAGGTGATTATGTCGAAAAGGGATCAGTTTGAAGTCATAAAACCTCGAAATCTTCCATAAATTGGTGCGGCAAAGCATAAAGTTGGGGGATCAAAACTAAGTTAATGGGGCAGCCGCCCCACGAAGTATCCTGATCTTCAATCAGCACGTCGTCCTGTAGCTCATTGGGATGAAATTCCAGAGCCTATCTTCGGAGAACTTCCTGACATTAGTGACGAAGATGCCTCCAGTGTTGAAGAAGGAGAAGTGGTTCTTGAAGATGATGCTCCACATCCATTTTCCCAAAAGGAGTTGAATGATCTAGTTCACGACCTCAGCTTGTCAAAGGACTCTGCCGAACTGTTGGCATCCAGATTGAAGGAAAAAAACCTCCTCTCTGACAGTGCTTGCATCAGCTTCTTCCGCAACAGGCATCAAGAGTACCTCCGTTTTTTCTCGGAAGAGAAGGTCTTGGTGTACTGTGCAGATATTGCGCAGCTTCTGCTCAAGCTTGGAGTGCCACAGTATGAACCCAAAGATTGGAGACTGTTCATTGACAGCAGCATCTGATCACTGAAATGTGTTCTGCTACACAACGGCAACCAGTTTGCCTCTATACCCCTGGCTCACTCGAGTACACTGAAGGAGAACTATGAAGCGGTGAAGTATGTGCTGGAGAAAATTGGTTATGATCAGCTTAAGTGGTTTATTTGTGTTGACCTGAAGATGGTGAACTTTTTGTTGGGACAACAGTCTGGCTTCACCAAGTACCCATGTTTTCTGTGCATGTGGGATAATAGGGACCGTGCTCAGCATTACACAAAGAAAGACTGGCCTGTGCGGGAGGAATTGGTGCTTTGCAAAGAAAGGAACGTCATCAACGACCCTCTGGTGGACAGAGACAGAATACTCTTCCCACCGCTGCACATCAAGCTCGGCTTAATCAAGCAGTTCACCAAGGCTCTGGACAAGGATGGTGACTGCTTCACTTACTTGTGCCAGGCTCTTCCAGGATTGACCATGGAGAAGTTGAAAGCTGGCATCTTTGACGGTCCTCGGATCCGTCAGCTCAGAGATCCAGAATTCGGAAAGTCAATGAACGAAGTGGAACTGGAAGCATGGAAGGCATTTGTTCTGGTAGTGAAGAACTTTCTTGGCAACAATAAGGCCAGGAACTACACAGAACTTGTCAACAACATGCTGACTGCTTTCAGAAACCTGGGCTGCAACATGAGCGTCAAGATTCACTACATATTTTCACATATGGACCGGTTTCCTGAGAACCTGAGTTCAATGAGTGACGAGCAGGGGGAGAGATTCCATCAGGACATGAAAGAGATGGAGACCAGGTATGAGGGTCGCTGGGACGCAGTCATGATGGCTGACTACTGTTGGACTCTAAAGAGAGACCTCCCTGCCGCTGAGCATTCCAGGAGTTCCAAGAAACGGAAGTTCAAGCCCTGAAGTTTGAAAAATGGTGAAGCAACATGCAAATTTATGTGTACTTACCTTTATCAATGCCCACCATCCAGTTTACAGTAAACCTGACCTGATGGAGAGAAACGGATGCCATTTCCTGATTCAGCAGTGCAAAAATACCCTAAATCAGTTGTAGAAATCTAGACAACATTCAAAAAGTAAAAAATTGTTGCCCAGTGTTATCACTCCTAACCTCTATGTTTCAATCAAGTGTGTACAAGCTGTATACATGGGAGTGCTCTCTGTGATATGTCCTGATTGTTTTCAATATACAGATTGCATGGAAAAAGTATAGAAGGTCAGCCGAGCATGCAAAATTCGAAAGCCAATGGCATCTAAATGAATTCAGACAAAAGTCATTTGTGTCTCATGCAGGCCCATTAAATACATAATGGAAAAGATCAGATGTGTACATATTTTAAATCCTAAGGGCAATCCTACTTTGCATATACTGTATTATATAGATTAAAATAAATGAAATCAGTTTAGTGTTGTCAGTTATAGGGACTTGATGCCCACCTCAGGGATGACTGTGGGCAGAATTGTTGTCTTGCAGGGGGTTGGACTAGATGACCCTTGGGTCCCTTCCAACTCTACAATTCTATGATTTTATGTAAATGAGAATTTACAATAAATAAATAAAAATCTGGGCCCAATTTACATACCCATCTTTCATGGCTACTTTGTGCAAATGCAGCTTTAAATTAGCTCAGCGATTACAAGTTCAGAGAAAAATCAATTGTGTTTTTGCTCCAGCTGTACATGTCACAGCAAGAAACTATTAGTGAAACTAATTTTTAACACAGCGAGTATCTCAATATGACATTTATGCCCCAGCCAGCTCTGTAAAAGAAATGCAGGAGGTGGGGAGAGGGAAAGAAAAGCATTTATGTACCTGTGTTTGGTTTTATTCATTATGGGTATACTGTAACTCATTAGGGAGGACTTTTAGATAAAAGCATTAATCTGAAATCAAAGCCTGCCCAGTTATGCAAAGCACTCAAACTGTGGCCACATTACGGAGTCTAGAAGCTTCATGGTTGTGGCTGGAAGGGAAGCTGAAAACTACTAAAAATGCAGCTTCCCCAAAATTATGTTGAAACAATCTATAGCCTTATTTAAAATTAACCAGCCTAACTTTTTAAGTTGTGGCCTAAGCAATTTATTCAATGTCATTTACTTGCCTAAAGAAGGAAATTGGAGGAAATGAGCTTTACTCTCTCATGGAAATAAATGGAATATACAGTAGTACCTCGGGTTAAGTACTTAATTCGTTCCGGAGGTCTGTACTTAACCTGAAACTGTTCTTAACCTGAAGCACCACTTTAGCTAATGGGGCCTCCTGCTGTTGCCGCGCCGCCGGAGCACGATTTCTGTTCTCAACCTGAAGCAAAGTTCTTAACCTGAAGCACTATTTCTGGGTTAGCAGAGTCTGTAAACTGAAGCGTATGTAACCTGAAGCGTATGTAACCTGACGTACTACTGTATAGGTTCTTTAACTCTGGCAGGATCAAGCCCAAATCTGTCTCTTCCACAGGTGATGAAGAGGCACTAAGAACCATTCCTATGTATAGTTTGTGTGTTGAAAATTAATCCTGTTTTGAAGACCCTGGACACTGCCGATGGAGTAGTGTGGGTTGTGCATTCTCCACTAATTTGGCCAAGTGTGTGTGTGTAATTTGATGCTTGCACTGTTTTAAATGAGTTATACTGTTAATATGGAGCTATGCGCATGGCTGCAACAGCATTTATTCACATGGTCACTGGTGGTGCACCTGCAATCTGACCTGGATAGGATCACCTCTTACATACAGTGGTACCTCGAGTTACATATGCTTCAGGTTACATACGCTTCAGGTTACAGACTCCGCTAACCCAGAAATAGTGCTTCAGGTTAAGAACTTTGCTTCAGGATGAGAACAGAAATCGTGCTCCAGTGGCGCGGTGGCAGCAGGAGGCCCCATTAGCTAAAGTGGTGCTTCAGGTTAAGAACAGTTTCAGGTTAAGAACGGACCTCCGGAACGAATTAAGTACTTAACCCGAGGTACCACTGTATGTAGTTTTCCTGCTGATTCTTGATGGTACTGTGCTGATTTTGTGCAAAATGTTATTAAGATTTAAGCTTGTAACAAAAAAGTGTTTATGTTAGTCCTTTGTTTATGCTGACCCAAATAAAAGTATTTTAAATTTATGATGTTCCAGCCACAAGACATACTCTATTTTACTAGGCAACTCAAATGGGAAAGGGCTGCATTGCATGGTTGCATGAGCAGAGCTCTACTAATGCAATATTCCTCCACCTGATTCCAAGTGATTACACTGCAGCCCTGTTACACACACACACACACACACACACACACACACACACACACACACACAAAATTCAGGAGCCCCACGTGACCTTTTGGAAAGGTTTTCTTCAAGGGATGGTCGAGTGGGTTTCAGAGGAAAGCAGGGAAAGAGGTCTCAGTTGTGTAAGCTGCCTTCCACTTGCACAACCACTGGATACAACCCAAGGTTTCTAATGAAAAGGCAGTAAAATAATGTTTACTTGTAATCACAAGTTTCAGCTGTAACCAAAGATTCTTGGATTACAGAGGCCTCCCCAAATCACTGCTAAACATCATTAAAATCAAATTGTCTATAGCACTGTTTATGGGTTGATCTCAGAGAATTATAGAGGCCAAGCAATCTTTCAGTGGACTCCCATCAAAAGCAGGTAGCCCAGTAAACTAGTTCATCTTACCTTTGTCATTGTGCTTATTAAAACTAATTGGAGAGATAAATTGCCTCCTAGAAAGCCATTACCTCCTCGAAAGGACGTTAATTTGAAGCTGAAAGACTTTATTGAAGTTACATTAGACTCTATTCAGCTGCAATCCTAATACTTATGTTCCAATTATCTCCAAGTGATAATCAAATTTTAAAAATCTCATTGGACAGGATTGACATACAATTTTGAAATGGCTCTCTTATGCTTTTTATATTAGCAACATTAATAACCTAGAGAGGACGTTTTGCCATAACATTTTGCTGTTTAAGGATGTTTTCAAAAGTTAACAACACCGTTCATATGCATAGTCCAAAGGTTCAAGATGCAAAATGCATGTTATATTGAAGGTGTGTTGCATTAATCTTTAATACTTAGAAAGCACCTGTGGGGGAATCAGGGCTGCAGACTGTTTGTCCTTTTCGTTGTTGTTTTAATTGCTATGTATTATATTTTTGATATTGTTTTGCTGTAAGCTGCTTAGGGAATATTTATTGACATGGCCACATACATCTCATAATACTATTAATAAGCAATAATAAAAAATAATAATAAAATAATCAATAGTAATAATAACAACTCCCTGGATTGGCTTGCCAGTCCATGAAGCGCAGAGTGCTTTTGCCTTGTGGGAACACACCGGTCCAGCAAATTTTGGCAAGCCAAAGGCCCACTGCTGTGGCAGGGGGAACGCGTCCTGTTTCACAGTTTGAGGCAAAATGGGAAGTACTGCTTTGCCCTGCTGCCATCACTGCTCCTACCACCATCTATCTGCTCCCGCTCCCGTTGCCTTCTCTGGCACCACTGCATGCCCTGCCCCATCCGCTACTGGCAGGGAAGCAGTATCGCCATTGTTGCCAGTTTGGGGCAAGATCTTCCCATGATCTTGCCCCAAATCAGCGCCGCCAGTGAAGAGGCAGGCGTACCCTGGGAGGCTTCTGCCACTAAAAACGAGCAGTACATCACCAAATGTAATTTAGAGCAGACAGTCCTAAGAAACTACTGAGCATCAGCAAATTAAGTAACAACGATGCTGCCACCTTTGTGGTTAAGAATCCAGAAACGTAAAGCCAAGCCTCAAATTCACTGCATAATCCATACAGCATGAGGAGCATTGTGAAATAGATGGCCCTCCCCCACCCTGAGTTTCTCATCAGTTTGTAGCAGCTATGAAAAGCCAGCATACTTGTGGGTGGCCTGCTGTGGCCTTCATTCGGTTTTATTCAATTATTCACTTGATTACACTTGAAAGAGCTATAAAAAGGGCATCTTAATTGCTCAGTGTTACTCACAAGCTTTTCAAAGCCAGCAAAGTGCGGCGCATGATCGCGATGTCCCTTTTGTGAATTCACAAATTTATCCCTACTGCAAGCCAATAAATAGATGGAATTACAAGTTTAGCACATATACAACCCCCCCCCCTGAAAAAAATACCAATTAGTTCTGGACAGGCATTTCTTCTTGGCTCCCCCAATCTGCAGTACTACATTGTGCAGTTCACCCACAGTTTGTCATGGAACCGGGTTTACATCTCAATGTTTTCAACTTTATCATCCTAAGAGATATTGAACAGGAAATGCAGGACAGAACTGGGTACTCAAAGGCTGTAGTAAGAAGACCTATCTTCTACTTGGTAGGAGAAACACAGAAAAAATATGGCAATCGTAAGTGATGTAAGTTCAAAGATATGCAGTTTCCTTTTTATTCAGGCTATGACACACGCGCCAATGGCCCCTGTTAATCAGAGTCACTCCTTATTTTCTGCGTCCCCCCAGAAACAAAGCACTGGATCTCTGGTTGATTCTCAGTAGATCACCAGGGAATCCTTTATCTCAATGGATGCTCCCATTAAGCACCCTCTCTCATATTTATTAGTATTATTTTTCTATCCAACCAGTGCTAACGTTACTGAAAGCATCTACAAATGAAATCTTAAGAGTAATGCTTTCCTCATTATTTTGGTTTTCTTCTGATTTTAAGATACATTTTGAGTCAGTGTGATACCTGTATATCCACTTATAAAGTCAGTTAGTATAAATCTTCCAGATACTAACAGAGATGCCAGAAACTTTAGATAGAAAGGAAAATGCAGCAGTCAAAATTTGGGTGAATAAATCAATTAGTAAAATTTGAAGAAGGGAGAATTTCTCAAATCTAGGGGTTGAAAATGTTTCACAGTTTCCATGTTAGTAAGACTAATTTTGGAGACAATCTATGGAGATATTTGCATTAAACCAGAAAAAGCCCCAAGTAGGATTGCTATTCCTGACTGAAATGTAAGTGGAAAATATATTAGCAGTGGTTTTATTATCTTTCTATGCACATCAGGCAAAAGCTTTAGGAACTTGTGCTAGAGGCTATTTTTGGAATCATTTGATACTGGAGTTACCTGCTTATGTTCCTGCAGGCTTTTAAAACAGTTGTTAAATGGCATAGCCATGGATTTAACCACAGAAAGCGGACCTACCATCACAAAATAGCTTTTTATAAATCTGATCAGCATTATAGGCTACTAAGGGAACACAGACGGAAGCCCACTTCTCAATCCAGAGAAAGTGTTGTGAGGAATTCCCATGGCATCCCAATACAAGATTATCACTTGTGATTCCCCTACTTCCGTATTCTCTGCTAGGGCTAAAAGTTCAGGGCACAGTCCATTGAAATGCTCAAGCCTCTTTGAAATTAATGGCACAGTGCAAGAACTGGCGGATTGGCGGATTGTGTTTCTATATTTATTTTGTTTTGATATTCTGCTGGAAGCCACCCAGAGAGGCTGTGGAAAGCGAGCCAGATGGGTGGGGTATAAATAATAAAATTATTGTTATTGGTCCTGGTTTGTGTCTTTTGCTCTTGTGCCCTAAGCCACAAGAAAGGCACCATTCGCCCAAGAGGAAAATGCCTTTCTGCATTATATTTATTCCAGTAACAGTGGACCAGTACTGGTTGATTCTGGGTCCACAGACAGGCTAAAGTAATGAGGAACGGCTTGGAATAGCTTTATGCTCAGCAACTTCTTATACAAACTTGAGCAACAACTTCACCTTTGAAACTAGACTAAGCCATGAGACTAAAGGGCAAGTCCATTTCATTAATACTGAGGGGGTAGCTTTATAAACTCTAATTTATAAGCTCTATCGTTGTTGTTTAGTCGTTTAGTCGTGTCCGACTCTTCGTGACCCCATGGACCAGAGCACGCCAGGCACTCCTGTCTTCCACTGCCTCCCGCAGTTTGGTCAAACTCATGCTGGTAGCTTCGAAGACACTATCCAATCATCTCATCCTCTGTCGTCCCCTTCTCCTTGTGCCCTCCATCTTTCCCAACATCAGAGTCTTTTCCAGGGAGTCTTCTCTTCTCATGAGGTAGCCAAAGTACTGGAGCCTCAGCTTCACGATCTGTCATTCCAGTGAGCACTCAGGGCTGATTTCCTTAAGAATGGAGAGGTTTGATCTTCTTGCAGTCCATGGGACTCTCAAGAGTCTCCTCCAGTACCATAATTCAAAAGCATCAATTCTTCGGCGATCAGCCTTCTTTATTGTCCAGCTCTCACTTCCATACATCACTACTGGGAAAACCATAGCTTTTACTATACGGACCTTTGTTGGCAAGCTGATGTCTTTACTTTTTAAGATGCTGTCTAGGTTTTTCATTGCTTTTCTCCCAAGAAGCAGGCGTCTCTTAATTTTGTGGCTGCTGTCGCCATCTGCAGTGATCATGAAGCCCAAGAAAGTAAAATCTCTCACTGCCTCCATTTCTTCCCCTTCTATTTGCCAGGAGGTGATGGGACCAGTTGCCATGATCTTCGTTTTTTTGATGTTGAGCTTCAGACCATATTTTGCGCTCTCCTCTTTCACCCTCAATAAAAGCTCTATCATTACATGGTAGCTATTATTGCTCTGGTGCAAGGTCTACTTTCAAGACTGGTGAAAAGTAGACCTTCGTACCAGTACGACTTCACCGTTACAAGGATAAATATAGTTGATGGAACCTTTTGCCAATGCTGGAAGTCAACAGCACAGGAGTAGCCAAAACTTATTATTTACCCTTAGTTATTTTTTGTTGACGATCTGAATTTTTGTTTTTAAAAAGGGAAATTGTAGAACTTCAGTATAAAATATTCACATTGAACATCAATAGAGTTTCAGCTGGGTTTGAATGTTTAGTTTGCAAATTTTATTTACAGGGGGAAAGGATTAGTCAGATGTGTCCAAGTGTTGATGATAAATTGTCTCTCTATTTTATTTCACATTTAATAAATCATTGGGTATCTTATTTCCAATGCAGAATAACAACAACAAAAACAGCCACACTTATTTTCCATGCACAGAAGTCTAAAATAGTTGAACTTTGAAACTTCGGCATATAAATAGGACAAACTGTGGAGCAAACACATGTCTAAGCTTGAAGAAACATTATGGTGGATAAAAATAAGGCCAAAAGCCAATCCAGTCATGCTTACTTGCATGTTCTAAGATTTTTTTTTATATGTTCTGCTCTTTTCTGATCTAATTGTCTAGGCTGGAAAATAAAAAGGAGATGGAAGGTGCCCAGAAAATGTTCACAGCTCATTGAGTAGCAAATTACTTATATATTCAATAAGCACAATGTGTGGAATTAAACTAATGAGCCCTATCAGCAGGCCTCTTGAAAGTGAATTATACCATCAAAATTTGGGTCTCCCTTAAGAGCAATTGAAGTTGATGGAATTGCATCATATGCTTTGAAGGCTATCGCAAAATAATCTCTTTAACAATGGTCTTTTATTTCTTTCTGGGGGAAAATGTAGCTTTTCAGAGTCTTGCGGGCAACTGAAAAATTATATAGAATATTTTATTAATTCGTTTGTTTATTTCAAACAAACAAGGGAATGACCGAGAAGCTCAACTCTCACAGAATGGATCCAATTATTTAAGAAAGGAGGAGGATGAACTTCAAACTCTGCCCCCTTTTACAGCATACATGTTAAAGAAGGGCAAAAAATGGTTGTGGACAATGATCAGGTCCTGGCACCTTTCCTGTGAGGAAGGACTGAGGATGCTGGTGCTTTAAGCAGTGTTATGGTTAGATAATTTTAGAGCGTTGATTTAATGGTCTTTTGCAGGGAGGATTTTTCTTTTTTTAAAAATGTTATGTTAAGGTATGCTATATGGTGCTTTTTAACTCAAAGGCCCTTACGGCAGTGAACAGCACATTGAGGGTGGATCTGTCTCAGTTTTGCTTGTCTCAGTTTCTATCTTTCCCAGTTTTAAATTACGTTCTTCACATTTTGCAACAATTTGCAAGTTTTTTGTTTGTTAAAAAAATCCTCATGAAAATTCACCAGATTTTAGCATGATGTTTTTCTGAACACACACATTTTTATATGCAGTTTTGACTAATGTACACATTTCTGCAAGTAATTTACCCTAATATAATGCATGTTTGTATTTTACTTTCCTATTTATGTACAGCTTTCCCTAACATATGCATTTTTTGTGTGTAAAAACTGGTTGGAGAACTGCACTGTGAAATTCAGATGTGCAAATTTCAGAGGACAGCTGTGTTTCAGTTCACATATTGTTTCAAAAAGCGGAAAAAGATTTGCCTTTAAATGTGTACTAAATCAAATTCTTTTTCCATCCCTAAGCATATTAATGCAGAATAAAGGTGCAATAGGACAGAAAATAATAATCTTTGCTGCAACAATAAATGAAGAAATCTAAAATTAACCAATTTTTAAGGGTTAAGACAAACCTAATATTAAAGGAGAGCTCACAGTTTGTCCCTGTTTTCCATCTTCAGAACACATATACCTGTCATTTCAGTTGCAACAGTGAAGTGAATACTAGCTCAGTCTTGCCCTTCCCCCATTTCAAAGTGTTGCAAGAATAGTAATGGACATATGCATTCATTTGTTGCTCTCTCTTACTATATCTGTACATCTATATATGGTTTTTTTGCTAAGTACAAAGCAGGTCTAGGACAGGAGGGGTAGGAAGGCTTCTTGATGACATTTTAGGGGCCCTGCCAGTCAATACCATGAACAACCAGCATCTACCTGAAACTTGCAGGATGGATTTTCACCCCTGGAAAAGAAATGCACATTTGAACCATGGGTGCTTCCAGAGCCTGGAATTGAAAGCCTAACATTTTTCCATCAGTGTTGTGACCCAAACAAAATGTATGTATATTTCTGTGGGTGATGTGCATGGCTATTCTAAGCACATCCAAGTTTTTGTTTGATTTCTTGGGTTCTTTCTAGAAGAATGTAGCTGAAACCCCAGTGTTTCCATCTTGCTGATCAAAATTTCCATGATTTCCAGTTCTGAAATACCACCCTCTCCCTTAGTCATATTTCAGTTCTGCCACTTACCCCCATATGTGCTCACTTAAATTTAACTCAAGGGTCTGCAAGTTGAAAATCATGCTTTGTTTCCACGTGTTTCTCCCCTTTTGGCATTCACTATAACATAGTCGCACGGCAAAGTCACATGCAGCCCCATATGTACTCTATTTTGCGAACTGCAAGGAATCTGTTTCAGCCAGTGAAAGAGTAAACTTATTCGAGCAAACTCATGAGGTGAGACAGATCATATAATATAATGATTAGTCATAGGAAAGTACCGGTATGTGTTCCAGGACCAAACAAATGGCTATCACTTGCACAGATGGGTAGGGAGGAATAATAATCAAGATTTTTTGCTTTAAATGTCTATTAATTTACACTAGAGATGGGGAAGAAATTTGGGAGAGGGGAGGGAGCGGCCAGGGAAAGGTGGCACCTTACCATTTCATCTCAGGGTGTTGAACTGGGCTAGGCCGGGCCAGTGCACCAGAAGCTGTGCATTCAGTATTGTAGACCGAATTCTGTGGCACTTCTTCCTCGCTGCGATTAGACAAGATGACTCCTTGTTGAACTTCTATTGAACCTTTCTACTTCAACAGGCAATTTTAAGGACATTTTCTGTTTTTCTGTTTAATTTCAATTGATAAATCTACTGCAAGCTTTTTTTAAAAAAAAATTATATACACCACTTAAACAAAAGCCTGTAAAGCATAGCAATTATTTATAAATTTGCATCTATAGGTAACCCATACTGTAATCCTTATTAGGAGCAGGGAAGAGACATTGTAAAAGCCAACAGAGGGCCCATAATCTGACCCCTTCCCCTTTTCTCCACAGCAGTGGAGCATGCTCACTAACCTTTTTCTTGTAGGAGAATTCCGGAAGCCAGCTTGGAGGAGAAGGCAGAGAGTTTGGAAGAGGCCTGGATGTTTTGCCTGCTTCAAGAGTTGCAGATTTGTCCAGGTTCCTGCTCTACCATCAGGTGCCTATAAGGAACTGTAAGTGTTGCTCGGATTGGGACCTGCACTTGGAACTCTGAGGTCATTTCAATTGTTGGATCTACAAATTGCTTTGTTCTTCTTTGGTTCAGTAAAAAGGTAAAGGTAAAGGGCCCCTGGACAGTTATGTCTTGTCAAAGGCGACTATGGGGTTGCGGTGCTCATCTCGCTTTCAGGCTGAGGGAGCCGGCATTTGTCCACAGACAGCTTTCCGGGTCATGTGGCCAGCAGGACTAAACCACTTCTGGCACAACGGAACACCATGATGGAAGCCAGAGCGCATGGAAATGCCGTTTACCTTCCTGCCACAGTGGTACCTATTTATTTACTTGCACTGGTGTGCTTTTGAACTGCTAGGTTGGCAGGAGCTGGGGCAGAGCAATGGGAGCTCACCCCGTCATAGGGATTCAAACCACTGACCTTCCGATCTGCAAGCCCAAGAGGCTCAGTGGTTTAGACAGAGCGCTACCCATGTCCCTACTGCTGAAGATATGATACAATCCTGCATGGTATACATTCAGTGAGCCATAATGGCATATTTACAGATATAAGTAAGTATATGTTTAGTTTAGGGACGCGGGTGGCGCTGTGCGTTAAACCACAGAGCCTAGGACTTGCCGATCAGAAGGTCGGTGGTTTGAATCCCCACGACGCGGTGAGCTTCCATTGCTCGGTCCCTGATCCTGCCAACCAGCAGTTTGAAAGCACGTCAAAGTGCAAGTAGATAAATAGGTACTGCTCCAGCGGGAAGGTAAACGGCGTTTCCGTGAGCTGCTCTGGTTCTCCAGAAGCGGCTTAGTCATGCTGGCCACATGACCCGGAAGCTGTACGCCGGCTCCCTCAGCCAATAAAGTGAGATGAGCGCCGCAACCCCAGAGCTGGCCACGACTGGACCTAATGGTCAGGGGTCCCTTTACCTTTACCTTTATGTTTAGTTTATAAATTATTTATGGCTTGCATTTTATTCATTTGATAGGCTGGTGCAACCATGGGTTGGAGGTCCATTTTCCAGATGGGACAGAGTTTGGCTACCATTGGTGAATAGTGGTTACATAAAAAATTCATATAAATTAGCACATGCATTTCCCCCGTTGTTAATCTGTGGCCTCCTTTGGGTGTGAGAGATGCATTTCCCCTTTTTGGGTGGTCATTGTATGAAGTCCACTTGAAGTCCCTTACTTTTCGTGGATCCAGCAAACTGTCTCCTTAGTTCTTATAGAGCAGGGTTTCCCAAACTTGGTTCTCCAGCTGTTTTTGGACTACAATTCCCATCATCCCTAACTAGAGAGATCAGTGGTCAGGGATGATGGGAATTGTAGTCCAAAAACAACTGGAGACCTACATTTGGGAAACCTTGTTATCGAATGAACAGCAGAGAGGAAAGCAATATTATTCCCTAATATGTCATTTGTGATACATCAAGCCAGTGTTGGGAAAATCAAGACTATTTTTCTCGCCACTGCATCCCCCCATTCCACCCCTCACCCTCAACTGGCTTTTCTCACAAGGTAACATTGCTTTCTCTTCCCTAAACACGAACCAACGTCAGTAAGCAACAAATCTGGAAATCTCTCTAGGAGCCAAATCCCAGCTGGGACACTAAATCATTTCACAAGAATGTGTCCTACTGAGAGGTATTTGTATCCCAGTCTCATTACGCCATACAAAAGCGCGTTCCTTTTAAATAAAACAAGTTTTTTAGTCCACATGGCTAGGCGATCATAAAATTGCTACAAAAACAATTGCGATTGGCAGTCTCATAATGATCAGAGAAACATTCTGGGCAGGTCTATCACTTAAAGAATTGCTTTAATGCTCAGGGAGAAAACAGATAATAGCACTTTGTGCAGTCATTGAAGCAGAAAGGAGAACATTAAACACACACACGTGTTTTGAGAAAAAGGCAAGACAGAATTTTCCCTCGGAAATATCAGCCACAGTGTGAAATAGTAAAAAACAACAACAACAAAAGTATAGAGGAAGGAGATTTCTAAAATAATCATTCACACTATTGGAGAATGATGAAATCACTTGCCATGTTTGCCTATGTTTCCTGAGTGCCAGCCTCAAATCATAGCTTGCTTCAGCCATTTTGTCACTTCAGGGGAACAGTGAAGCATATTTGCTATTATTGGCTGGGAAATTTAAAAACAAATGCATAAAGAGAAAGAGAATTCCCTGGGTGCCAAGAACCAGGCTTGGTGCAAGTACTCTTTGGTAATAGAACGCCAGCAGAGATTTAAAATCACAAAATATGAAGCACAGTAAAGCATAGGAATATAGCCTATTAGACCTTTAAAATATACCTTCCAAAGTTCTCCACTTCCCCCAGCATAGAAAAAGATCACATGTTTGATAAGTTAAAAATGGTTTACTTACACTTCTTCAAAGGTCAGATTCATGTGATTTTCCATAGAGCAGTAAAAAAAAACCAACAGGCAGCAAAACTTAGGTTAGTTCCAAAGTGGTGAAAGTTCAAAAATTATTTGTATAGGAACATAAGGATGGCTTTGTAAAAAAAGGGGGGGCATGCAGTGTGAGCTTGGAGCAACCACTAGCTTGCCTGGTATTCTACTAGTTCCTAAAACCAGACAAAAATGAATGGATTGGAAATGAATGGATTGGAATATTTTCCCTGCTGAAATAAAATTTCCTCGGCCCTTGTTTTCGGTTATGCAAACATTGACCTGCTATTTAGCACAGAAGTCTCAGATGGTGGAAGTTTATAATCCAAAAGGCTGCTCTCATCAGCTTTCTGCCTTTTCCATATTTGCATAGGGGAGGGGATAAATGGTTACAACACTTGGGGGCATGAGTTGCTTTGGCTATTCAATATTGGAAACCCAAATTTATTGGGGCAGCTTTGCACATGGAAGGAAGCATAAAACAGCAGGGTCATCCTGTCAACTCACAACCCTTCATTCTCCGCATTCAATGTAACATTTGTTAACGTTGGGTGCAACAGAACTGCACTGTTAACTTGAGCAATAAATGTTCCTTTAACACAAACGCCTGTCTGCACGAACATACTGTTGTAGTTGCTTCTAAACCACCACCTTCTACATATGTTTTTGTGTAGTTGTATACACACAGGGTGCAATTAAGTACAATCTTACTTGCCAAACCCTCCCTCCCTCAAGCTTAGTGGCTTTTGTGAACTGTTGGCAGACACAACAGAAGTACAGGTATTTATGACCACCTTGTGGGATTTATTTAGCAGGTGAAAGGCTGCCTGCCACCTGTTTCCATCCTAACACCCGTAAAACAAGAATATTTCTAATTTGCATGCAAGGTTGGAAATAACATTTAGGGTTATAGCCATGTTCTGAATAGACCCATTGAAATTAATGGTCCTATGTTAGTCAGGCGGCAGGGGGAGAGGAAATGGTGGAGGGCTAAACGTGTGTCATTCAGACTGTCCTAAGCCAAGCTCTGAACCAGTCGCACTCCCCTAAATCTGTCTCTGCCATGCCCTCCAAGATAGTCCTGTGGCCTCAAGTGTGGTAGAGGTGTTAGTGTAGTCTAAAAACAGACTTGAAATTATCCTTGAATAGTTTTGCCGCTAGCAAGTTTGATCCTAGCAACAAATTTTCTCCCCAGTGACAGACATTTGTATGAGAAAACCTCTGAAAGAGTGTGCTGGTCACTCTGTCCGGATGGTTGAAGAGCAGAGAGGAAGAATGATTCTCTGTACTGTATATAAAGGTAAAGGTACCCCTGCCCATGCGGGCCAATCGTGTCCGCCTCTAGGGTTGTGCGCTCATCTCACTTAAGAGGCCGGGAGCCAGCGCTGTCCACAGACACTTCCGGGTCACGTGGCCAGCGTGACGAAGCTGCTCTGGCGAGCCTGCACCAGCGCAGCACACGGAAACGCCGTTTACCTTCCCGCTAGAAAGCGGTACCTATTTATCTACTTGCACTTAGGGGTGCTTTCGAACTGCTAGGTGGGCAGGAGCTGGGACCGAAAGACGGGAGCTCACCCCGCCGCGGGGATTCGAACCGCCGACCATACGATCGGCAAGTCCTAGGCACTGAGGTTTTACCCACAGCGCCACCCGCGTCCTTGTACTGTATATAGTTCTGTTTTATTTTCCTTAGGCCAGTAGTTATACAAGCTATAGTGTTAATTCTTCAATAAATACTTCAAAGCAGAACTGGAATGGGTGAGGTGTTTATTCCCACATGGGAAATCACCAACAGATGAGCTGAACTGAGAAAGAAGATTCGGGAAGACTTTAGGCTGACTGAAAAAGGAACCCCAAATGATTGGCATAGTGCACTGAGAAGAGGTTGATTGATGTCTGTCACACCAGTGTTGAAGAAAAAGGTGACTTCTAGTCCAGGTGACTCTAGTCTGTGGAATTGAAAGGTCACCATCTTGTGAAATGTCTGACTAGCCTTGAGAAGTGGAGTTAGTATGGAAAAGAGCAACAACCTTCTCTGTTGTGATGCCTGAATTACAGAAAAGTCTCTCAGGAGAGATTCAGCTAGCCAGCCTCCTATTTGCCTATTTTTAAATTGGTTCTTAAGACCATTTTGTTCCTGTTGACATTTTCCACTTAGAGCTTGCAATTATGTATTTATAATCTGTTCGCTGAAAAGTCTTTTTTAATGCAGTTTTATTTCTGATGTTGGTCTGCTGTTTTATTGTAAATTATTGTACTTTAAATTTGTGATAATACATATATATTATTCTTTACTTTGTGAGCAGCCTTTTCCCATACGCTTAGTCCTAGGAAGGCAAAATATATTTAGTTAGTTATTGCCTTGTGAGAAATTTAAAAAAGGCAGAACCCCTCCTTAAAAATAAAAAGGGGTTCAAGCTGGGGTGTGGAAATGTGTCTCTTTTTAGGGATGTTACAGTCACAGATCACTGGCCATGATGTTTCATAGTCACCTTATCCAGATGGAAAATCAGATTTAAGCAACAACCTTGAAGATTAGTATGAGTACGAGGGGGAGGGGGAAGGAGAGGAGAGAACAGCAATGATGGTGAGTCCTTGATGGAGAATGACTTCACCCATTTACCCTTCCCAAAAATTAATATTTGTAAGGAACCACAGTGAGGTCTTGTCCCACTGTGAGGTCTTGTTCTCATAATCACTCAACCTTCATGGAATGCTTATTAGGTTCTCAAAGACACTTGGGCTACATGGATCTTTGCCTGATCCTCAAAGCAACTCTTAGGTTATAATATTTTTGTTACAGGATTTGTATTATTGATTTATCAGTATCTGTAATTAAAGCATAGATCTGTAAAACATAATGTTTAATTGTTTTCTAAAAAAATAATTGCACTTCTTTCCCTATGTTTTTAGGTGGTTCCATTTTAGGTGTAAGGGGCATTGAGTCCCTGTCAGGGAAAAGTTGGGATATAAGTAAGTAAATAAATAATAATTGATCATAATTGCAAAGTAAAATTCATATTAATGGCCCTACGACATGGTCTGAGAGGACCTGATGCAGCCATGTTTGGGGTCTGGTCAAGGCTTGGATGAGAAACTGCCTGGGAACCGGACAGTATCTATGAGGGAAGAAAAGTGGGATTTAAATGCACCAAATAAATTAATGCAGAGTAATTAATGATTTTTGTTTGTATTCTTTTTTAAAAGACGTCTAGAAGCCTCCCTGAAAATTCATCAGGATTTTCATGGAGAGTTTCACCTAATAAATACATTTTTGTATGCAATGTTGTCTATTGCACATACATCATAAAGACACCACAGTCTCTGCTGTGCCTCATTTCCAAAGGAAATATAAACCCTTGGTAAGTGCCTAAACCCCTGGAAACTCGCACCACTCGGAGATTAGGGTGGCGTGTAAGAATATGCTATAAAATGCTAGAAATCAAAGTGAGAGGCGTGGCTGATTTACCCATCACTGGCGGTCACTTGGCATCCAAAGAAAAACACTCACAGCTATTCCAGGTTATGGAAGATTCTAAAGGACACATTGCTAATTCTAGAAAAGCATGCTGCCCAAAATTGTCCTGATAGTTGCCTCCCAACCCACCCACCTTTTTCCTTTTTAAAGTTTTGAACATCTGCTCTGACCATCTTAGCTTCAAGGAGGATTATGTGACCTTTTGTCAATGGACGTTAAAAATAACAGCACCAAGCTGATAGATTTTGCACGGGCTTTGGGTGATGACTTTTTCCTACCAGCAAATACAAAAAGAAGTCAATAATGGGCGGTTAAAACAAAACAAACAACATTTACCCATTCTACCCTGTAGAATAAAACTGGGGAACAATAATTCAAATAATTTTTTAAGAATATTTAAGTATCACATACCAACTTGCTTCCTTTAACAGGCAAGGGCCTAAGAACTGTCCTGTCTCAGTACAGGGGGTGGGGATTTATGACAGGACTGTTCATCTATTGCACTTAGATTGTTAAATACCTCCCCCAAAGAGATCCTTCACTGATTTTTCAGCATGCAACCAGAACCAGACTTTTCTTCAAAAAAAATTCTGCTGCTTAAAAGAGCAGCTGCTTAAGGAATTTATTTTCAACAGCTGTTGAAATTTTGCTAATGTTAAAATTTTGTTTCATTGTTTTTATTTTATAGTTTTAAATGCGCTTTAAAGCTCCTTAAGCAGTTTACAGAAAAGCAGGGTATAGCTAAGAGTAAACATGGAAATCATGCTTAAGTAAATGAGTACAGTGATAAAAGACTGGTCTAGTACCAGGGGTGCCAACCTGAGTAAAACATAGGACAACAGTGGCGAACCTAGGTCACGCGGAGCCCTCACTGGTGGCACGTGCGCCATCGGCCCATCCGACTGTTGTTTTGTTGTTTTTTCCATTTGTTCTCCCACTCCTCCCCATGCTACTGCGTGCATCCACTGCTTAAACCCGGAACTTTTTTCCCCCTTGCTGGTAGCTGGCGATTGTTTTCAGCGATTGGTCTGTTTTTCAATTGGCTGCGGCAGTGGCTGTTTCTGATTGGGCGTAACAGCGTTCATTATTTGACCCCTCGTGATTTTTTCCCCTGCACTTTTTCCGGTGCTGCGTGGTAGTTCGCAGCTGCCCCCTCCAAGCCAGGCCTTGCCCATTCCCTTCTGCCTCCCCCCCTGCTCCAATCCTCCACAGGCCCCTTGCCTCCTGTGGGTCTGACCTGTCAAAGCCAAGCCTATTCACAGGGTTGTTGTGAGGATAAAACTGGAAGGGGAGATCAACCTTGCCACTCTGATCTCACTGGAGAAAGAATGGTAGAGAAATGGAGTAAATAAGCATGTGAAGCACATGCAGCTAAGCTATGGATTTCAGCAGCTCTCCAGACAGAGTTTCAGAACTGAATAGCATCCAATGCACTCATTTTATTTCTAGCAGATGTCATTATTCCTTGTCAGAGAGCACAGTCTCTTCGTTACAGCGTATGAACCTAGTTTCCTACAGTTATGTAAGAACAAAGGATAGCAGCCAGAGACAGGCTTTTTCTCTGGAAGAAAGAATTGACTGAAATTGAAGATTTCGAGAGATCACTGTGGTAATTTAACAATGCTCATCAACCTTGGGTTCCCAAATGTCGTTGGGATAATGGGAGTTGTAGTGCAATAACATCTAAGGACCCAAGGTTGAAGAACATTGATTGTGAGTACATTTTCGTTATCATTTTAAACGAAAGTAAACAAAACATCCAGAGCTGAGTGTTAAGAAGAGGAAGAGCAGTAAGGGGAAGTTACCGATTCAACAGTTGAGCTGAATAGACTTTTAATCAAAACCATATTATCATGCCTGTATTTTGGCAGAAATATAGTTGAAGAAACAACACAGAGCTACGGCAGGTGTATAGCAAATGATCATTATTGACACACCCACTGTTACTTTGGGATTTATGATTTAATAGCAATAAAGAAAGACAAAGAAGCAAAAAATGAAGTTGTAATCAACTCTTCCCTTATGGCTACAGAGTATGTGGATTACACAAAATGTGGTGCCATGGTTGGATTAACTTGAGAGGCCATTCTATCTGACCTACGCTTTGACAGTGTCATATCAATATGGCAAAAAATAACAGCTTAATAAACACATTTTCCAGTTTAGTCTCTCTTTAGATCAATAATCCCTGTCAAAACATCTTTATTTATACCTCAGTTATTTCTGTGCTCTAGTTGCATAACAAAAAGATGTCAGAACTTTTGGTTTGTATTTAGAGATACTCTTGGTCAGTCAGATTCAAAAGGTTTTCTAAAAGGAAAAGGAAGCTTAACATTGTTAGATCAAAATGCACAATGCAGTTTTTTAAAATAAATCTCATTATTGTCAAATGCCAGTTTATGGGGGAAGGGGGAGAGCAGTCTTCCAGCTGCTATCACTGCTTCTGCCAGAAGGCTACCATAAAGCTAAATCAAATGGCAATAAATTACCGTTAAGCACAAAGTTTAGGAACGCAGTTAGCACAATTTAAATTATTTCAAGCAAGGAAATGTCTTTTGATGGTCACAAAGAAGCAGACGACTCTAAACTAAACTCCATAAGCTTAGTAAGCTAAGACTCTATACTTAGCTTTTATATTTATGGATTAAAATGCAAAATGTTTTACAAAGGTCAATGAAATGCAGACCATGACATGGAGAAAATAATGCAAAACATAATATAACAACAGTAAAATGCACACCAGAACCTTAAAAAAATCAGGGTCAAACCAGACAGTATTTTTAAAATGAAATGCAGCCCTTGGAGACTCCCAGTTTAAGTGGAAGAATGGTGTGAGAAAGGGGATACTTAACCCTTCCCCTTCCTGCTATTTTCTCTGCCAAAAATAACCACCTCAAGGGAAGGGGAAAGAATATATAAAAATACAGAATAATTTTATAGGGTAATTCTTCTATATGGTATACAACAAAAGGCTTGGATAGTCTGCTTATTTTATCTTAGCAAATCTTCATTCTCTAGTTCCATTTGCAAATCTGCTTCCAAATGAGACAGCTCCGCTGATTTGGTGTCCTGAACCCCTGGCCTACCTGGCAGCAAGTCGGTATGTCAAGTCCAAAGTCCAGGGGTCAAGCCACACGAGCAAAGTCCAGGGGTCAAGGAAACACAATCCAGGGTCAATCCAGGTAGCTAGGTCTGAAGTCCTGCAGTCAGGATACCGTCCAGAGTCAAACCCAAAGCACAGTCCCATAGAGATCCAGGAGCATCCAAACCAAGTTCCATCGACAGTGAGCAAACACAGCCCCTCACTTCTGCTTCCCTTTTGTACTTTGCTGATTGCAGCATCTGGGCTTGATGAGGCAGGTGACCCTCACCTGCTCCAAGCCTACTCCAGTTGAGCAATCACACCCCGTCCTCCCAGAGCTAGTGAGCCCCACCTGGCCAACTAGGGAGCTGGGCTGTGGGCCCTTGCCTGTCTCAGCCTCCTAGAGTGCCACTCCTGCTGCTCTCTACACCTCAGAGCCCAGCCTTGCCGACCCCCGACCTAGTATGATACAGAGCGGGTCCCTTCTTCCCCCCAATGGCCATTGATTCCCACTTCAACTATTGGGTAAGATTGATTTGATTCTTCCCCACTTGTTTATGATGTAGATCTGCACTCACCCCTTCTTTCCTGACTCAGGGGGTGGGCACCATTTCACTTCAGGTGCCAAAATGTCTCCATCCTTCATTCCAGTCAGATGTGAATTAGGGTCACACAGGAGAGCACCTGTTGATTAACTTTGGTCAGGCCAGCTCATATTAGAGAAGGTATCATGGTCCCAAATTGTGCAGAGCTTTAACAGCCGTAACAATTTCAATGTTTCTATTTTGTTGTTTACTTGTATGTTTTCATTAATCCTCTAGGAGTAACAGGTAGATGTGGTTTTGCAACCCATCAGTATTGTTCCAGCTTAATGTCATATCCCTGGCTGGAGAACCAGGGTGCAAAATATCAGAAATGAGTCTTGTGGCATTAAGCTAGCAGGACAGAAACCTAGACCTCTCAACACTTTCATTAAATTCTTGGAAAGATTTCTGAAGTTTGTTAAAACCTGCACCACAAAAGGTGCATTTCAAAATTTTTAAATAAATACTGATACCAAATATATATGCTGGGCAGCACTTTTGTAAATAAATTGCTTGACAAGACAAGTACAGTATACATCATCATCATTATTATTTTTTTACGGACAAATCCACAACCTGACTAACCCAAAGGCTTTTCATTTAAAACTATCTGTTGAAGCCAATGGGACTGAATTGGCTGAAATCCAAATGCTTCAGGTGAACTGGGTTGTGAATTGGGCTACCCATCAATCAAACAACTATACACAGCCAGTATGAAATAAATCACTTCGTTCACTTTTGCAGAGGCTAAATCAGAAACCCACAAAATCCACTGATACTACTTTTTAAAACACTTCTGTTTTTAATTAACTTAGATGACATGGGTGTGGTGACTATTGGAATTATTGGTCAGTACAGCCAAGCTCTGATTCTTAGTAGAACTGCTGCTTAGCATTCAAATATTCTAAGAAATACCCCCTTTTGTAGTGAAATCAGCATAAAATATATAGTGAGATGCTATTGTCCATTTTGTTCGTAAAAGAAAATCATTGCATTAAAGATAGTGGAAGCTTTAGTGCTTGATTTAGAGAACAAACTAGATTCACCTTGAGAAATAATTTTAAATAGGACAAATGTGCAAAGATCTTAACAGATCTATTGAACCAGATACTGGGATATTGAACCTAACATTATGGCATATTAGGTTAGATTACTGTAATGTGTTGTACATGGGGCTGCCTTTGGAAACTACAGCTATTCAGTAGCCAGCTTTAGGGCTGGCCCAAGATATTGGGGGGGGTATGGCAACCTGCCCCCCCAAGACTCATAACAATATTATACCAATTTGGGGTTGACTGTTAGTTTCTCAGCACAGTTTAAGAGCAATTTTTGACCTATAAAACATTTTATGGTTCAAGACCCCAGTAACTCCTGGGCCATCTCTCCTCATATGAACCGGTCTGGATTTTGTAGTCTTAATCAGAGGTCCTCCTTCATGTGCTCAGTTTTAGGGAGTTGGAAAGGGTGACCACACAACAGCAGATATTTTCAGTGGTGGCCCTGCTCTCCATTTGTGGAATGCTATCCCCAGAGAAATACATCTGGCGACATCATTGTTTGTTTTTAGACACCAAGCTACGCCATTTTTATTTACCAAGGCCTTTGATAGTTAAGTGGTGCTGATATTTTAGTGGTAGTGAGGTAAGACTGGTTGGATGATCATTTTATAAATGTATTGTACATTGTTTTTAAACTTTCTGGCTTAAAATTAATTATATTTGTTTGTATTTTATCATGATAAATTCCTTTGAGACTTATTTGTATAAAACAACCGACAAATATAAATGATGGTGATGATGATGATGATAATAATAATAATAATAATACAGTGGTACCTCGGTTCTTGAACAGAATCCGTTCCTGAAGACCGTTCTACTTCTGAAACATTTGAAAACCGAGGCGCAAAGGGCTGGCTGCAGGTTCAGTTGGAAAAATTAAACACATAGCAGAAGCTGTTCCACTTCCGAAACACGTTCAAAAATGGAAGGAATTACTTCTGGGTTTTCAGCATTTGAAAACCAAAACGTTCGGCTTCCGAGACACTCGAAAACTGAGGTACCACTGTATAGTTGATAAGTCTTGTACCCATGAGGGCAGGGGGAAACATCATAATGGGTGGGAGGCATAATCATGGTGAAATTATGGTTTAAATCAAACTATGACTTAGCATGATATACAAACCATTTTGTTACTGTAAACATTTTCTGTGTTCAGCCTTTTTTTTAGTAATCAAGATGTCTTAGACTATCTGTGTAACCAATGCCAGCTTTCAATGAAAATACCCAAACAGTGTA